GAAAAAAAAAGATGACAAAAAAGATGAAGTGAAAAAAAGACGATGAAACGAAAGTCAAAACGAAAAAAAGGATGTCAAAACGAAAAAAAAGGATGTCAAAACGAAAAAAAAGGATGTCAAAACGAAAAAAAGGATGTCAAAACGAAAAAAAAGGATGTCAAAATGAAAAAAAAGGATGATGAAATGAAAGAAAAAAGATGATGAAGCAAAAAAAATGACAAAACAAAACAAAAAAAAAAAGACGACAAAACAAAAAAAAGGAAAACAAAAAAAAAGGATGACAAAACGAAAAAAAAGATGACAAAACAAAGGACAAAAAAAAGGACAAAAAAGGACAACAAAAAACAAAAAAAAAGGATAACAAAACAAAAAAAAAAGGATGGCGAAATGAAAAAAAGGGGTCTAAAAGAAGACCTAATAAGAGAAAACCTAGACAGAGAGAAGAGTCCTAAAAAAAAGACGAAAAAAATTATGATATAACCACACACAAACCCAACCCACACTCTCTAAAGAAAGACGTAAAGAAAAGGGCCTAAGAGATAGAAGACATAATAAAGAAAAGCCTAGGCAGAGAGAAGATAGACCTCGAAAAAAAAGTATATATTGTGTATATATAATATTGTTAGCTGTGAGTAAGCTGACGAAAAAAAAGATGATGAAAAAAAAAGAGGGGTATTGAGGGTATATAAATACTTTTTCGAATACACAGTGACTAATAATAACTTGCATAATACAATTGTTTGACAATACAATTGTTTTGAGTTTCTGGTTTTGAAAAAAAAACTGGAAATAAAAAAAAAATAATAAAAAAAAGTCTCGGCAAACACGATATACTGCGGCTGACCGCATCATCCAATATTTTTTTTTCCTCTTTTTCAAACCCAAAAATTTTTTAAATTACTAGTTTTTTATTTAGTAAGTTTTTTTTCATTTATTTATATAATTTATATTTTGTGTATTAGATAAGAATCTTACACTTTAGTGTAAACTTTTATTGATAAAATGTTGTTCGTCACCAGTATAACGTGATAATAGTCTCGTATGTTACACGTTGATTATCAATTGATTACTTCATTGAATAAATTTATATTATCTTCTCGATATTCTCACGGGTGGGTGGTGTTTATTTAAAAAGATAGGTAAAAAGTCTATCAATATTGGAATAAAAAGTCTATCATCATTAGTCAAAATAAGTATATTAAAGGCTTTATGGTATGGATAAATCAGTTATTTCACGGAGTCACTGGAATATCATGATTTTCACGGCTGCATTGTGAAATAACTATTACGTATAATTTTTTCCCTCACTCCCACAAACTCTCATGAACTCTCTTTCACATCCCCTCCTCCTACATTCTTTATTCTTAAATTCTCTTTTCATGAATTCTGAACATTTATCTCCTCTTGAAGAGTTTGAGCAGGATGCTAGTGACAATGATGAATGTGGAAATAAAGAATATTTAGTAAGGTTAGGAATGTTTATTTAGGATTAAAATGTGGCCAAAATATTTGCGTAGGTTTAGGGAGCTTAGGTAAGGTTAGGGTAAGGTATGTTTATTTGGATTAAAATGCGGTAAAATGTTTACTTAGTAGTCTTAGGGTAAGACTAGGAATGTAATCTAAAACTTGTAAATTTAATATTTAATAAACATATTTTTATTATTTATTTAATTTCTTAAATAGTGGTTATCGGGATCCATCCCCAAAACAATCGTATGTACAAAAATAAAATACAAAGAGGATTCTATGTAGATGGAAAATCGATATTCGTCCCAGCGCTAGGACCTCACCCTTCGATGGTAACTATTTTAACAATAAGACTACGCTAACATATTTTTATTATTTGCTGCGTGTATAATACTAATCAGATGATATCTGATATCATATTGAGCGCGAAGTGACCGTTACTACTAGTTATTTATTAATATAATATTTGACTTCTTTAACATCAATTTCAAGCTTAACTGACTTATAACCAATCATTTTATCTAATAAGCAAAAACAAAAACTAATGAAGATAAAAAAAAAACTACAAAACATTGAAGAGAAAGCGTAATCAAAAATGGGCGAAGATTCCTCTTTCATCCACGCATCTAATACCTCTTACATTTTATTACCCAGTGCGTTACTTCGTGACCCATTTCATCCAAACATTTGGTCCTGTGACTGCTCAACTTCAAACATTTATTATGCAAATATGCAAATAGAACTTTTAATAAATAAAAAGAAGCAAAGATTTATTTAAATAAATAAATAATAAAATAAAAATTAAAATATTAAAATAAAAAGAAATAATAAATTTACAAATACACATAATATATTTTTTATTTGATCGAAATATTTGATTTAATCTTTTTTTTAGAGTTTTTAAAATAATCTTACAATAATAATAATTATTCATTATTGTTAAACCAGTGAATATATTTATTTATATTGAATCGGAATCACAATAAATTTTTTGCTGGGAGTAACGATAAAAGACTTTTTCTCTTTTAAAATTTAAATTAAAATATTAAGTTCTGACGCTCTCTTCTTTTTTTAATATAAGATCGATGAATTTGTGTATATATGTGATAAAAAAAAATTACGAAAAAAATTTTTTCTCAAAAAAATACTAATATACATGTTAGAATGTTTAAATAATCCCCTCCTCCTTATAATTGAAGTATTATATTTTATCACTTCTATACGAAAAAACTTCTACATATTAAAATATTCACAATACCATGCATGCTAGCATACGCGTTCTCACTAATGAATTTCTTTAAATAAATGAAAAAAAAATTGGTAATAATAAACGTATTATGACCAAAATACCCGCATTCTATGTTGGGCTCAAACAAAATTGAACGATAAAGCTCAGAAAAGACTTCCAAAACTTATATCAAGTCCCGTAATCCTCCTTGTGCACGCCAGAAGAAAGGTCGCTCAGCCGATGAAAAACTTTTATTTAATGCTTCTAATAAGAAACAAAAAATTTTTTTGATATTGAACATCGAATTTTAAAATTTTTTTTAGAATGGAACAATCCGGCAGTAATAATAATATCCTGTTACGCATAAATACGCCAAATGCGGTAAATTAAATTTTATTTTAGTTTTGCACTTGAAAGTGGCATGCATTCATTTATTGTAAAATAAATGGGGATATCATTATTGGCTTTAGTACATAAAATATAATCATTATGACTCAAAGATTTATTTGATCTTTTTCACTTATTAGGCGTTGCGCTTGTTGCACGTTGCTCAACCAAATTTAATTATATCAGGAAAGATAATTAATTTATATGAATTATTATGCTTAAACAAATTTATTATCAAACGTGTCTTAAAAAAAATATCAAATATTTCTTAAAATATTAAAAAGATAAATTAATTACGCATATCTGATATTAAAATTGTGCGAAATCAGCATGCGTATGCTCATATGCACGTCATAGCCCAATTTACTGTTGTTTGAAATTCAATAAATAAATAAAAAGTTTATAATCAGTTTTAATGAATATTTGAACATATCTAGCAGAAAAAAAACACATAATTGTTGGTGTTATAAAATTTTTATTTTTCAGATATGTTGCACAAGAAGTTTCGGTTGTCAAAATCTATGATTTTGATCTACAACTTTATACTGGTCAAAGCCTCAAAGGATAATGCCGAGAGTAAAAAAAGGTTTTACATTTGCGAAAAATAGCAAAAATTTCCGCAAAAGCATAGCAATAAAAGGTATAAATAAACGAAAAAATCATATCCTTTATACTTATAATTCATTCTTCTTTTTATTTTTATTTTCAATGTGAACTAAGTTACAGTGCAAATTACATAGAAACTATACACTAGACTATATGTATTTATAATTTAACAGTTAAACAAGTTAAACAACCCTATAAAAATTTTTCAGAAAAATTATCACGTGTCCGAGTTTTTTCGGAATAAAAACTAGAAAAATGATCATTTATCGAAGTTTTTTCCAGAATTTCAAGCTTTAAAATAGTTGCCTTATCATAAAGTAGTATTGTGACGCCATCAAGTTACGCGTCACATGCAGTCAAATTTCTTCTAAATCATCGAGTACCCTATCGTAAAGTAGTATTATGACGTCATCAAGTTTTGCGTCACAAGTCAAGATTTCCTCCAAATCATCGAGTATTTTGCTGGTCTTCTTAATTAATTCTTCAAATTTAATTGGATTCTTGAATCGCCTTTCTCCTGAACCGGATGTTTGCTTTCAAGTTGGTCAAGTATATACGCTGTCCTTAAAATATCTCGCCAAGTTTCTAGATTTGGGTTATAACCTCGATTTTTTCTTGCTCAATTTTAGATTTTGTTCTTCTGCATCGAATGTCAAAACATGATCTAGCAGACATATGTCTGCGAATATATTGACATCCTCAATTTCAAGCTCCGCAATTGTATCGATTTTGGATAATGTTTGATTATTTAACCGATATTCTCCATTTATTTTCGCAGTTATATCGGTTACATTTCTAATTAAACTTTGGCTGATAATACTTTCCATGTACCTTACTTTGCGGTATATAAGCAGTGAGTGAGACAGACAAAAAATTACCCCCACTAAAGAAAAATTTAGAATTAAATAAAAACCCCTTTGGCCCTCCCGCCAAAAATAAAAAAAAAGTCTCGGCCTCCCACCGAGAACAAGAACAAAAATTATATTACTCTGGTAGGGGTAATGTAAATCAGTAGGCGCAGCGTACAATACTATTATTTCCCGTGTAATTCGTTGAAAATATTAGGCAGCATTTTTCTTAGTAGCGCCTATGAAATTAGTAGGTTGTGCATATGAATTTTATTAATGATATGCGCATTGGTTGAAACTTCTATGCTTACTTCTATATCCGCTTTAGGAAATTGATGGTTGAGATAATTATTAATTATGTAATTTATGCTTTGAGGATGAGAAATACTGTTTTAAGTGTGGCGTTTTTATCTTCGTTGTTTGTGATCACCATAAAACGAGTATCGTACGAATCAAAAGTTTCTGGTCTTAGGCGTAAAAGGTAATATCTGGCGATCTTGTTGTTGTACAATGTGTAGACTCCACCTGTCTTGTGCCCGACTTGACAAGTTGAGCGAAACTCGAATGAAAGTGGGGAAAATTTTATATGTTTATAAAATTTAAGGTTCATTTTAGTAGGTGGGTCGGTGTATTAGGGGTTATAGTCGGGTTCATAGTTAGAAACGAAAAAAAACAAAATATTACTATTAGGATAAAAAGGACAAGGTAAACGAGCCGAGAAAAATTTGTTTATAAAATTTATATAAAATTATTTTGAGTCGTAAAAATGTAGCCCGATTTGAAAAAATATAATAAAGTGTTTATGAAGGTATGAAAACCCTGTGTAAACGTTTATTTATGTGTAAAAACCTTTTAGATAAGAGTCATAAGACTTTCGACGAAAAAGAGTTGTGACGAAGCATAGGAACAGCCGTGTAAAAAAAAATTGTACCGAAAATTTGCGGTAAGAGTTTTTTTTTTTCGTCACCGCAAATTCACTTAAATATATGCTTATGAAAGTTTAAATCACCTGATGCAACATAAATCAAGTTATGATCAACAAACATCATCCCGTACCCTTTTTTCTCTGATTTATAATAACAACAATACAATTAAATATTTTATAAAATGCTTTCCGCCCCCCTCAAGAGGTCCGATCCGTATATCTATGTGGATTTCATACCCTATTCTTTTTTATCAGCAGATGACTCATGGAAGATCTTGATTGGACGATGTACCGTACCATTTCCAAAAAATCATTTAACTTCTTAAAATTATTGAATTTTTATAGAATTGGAAAATTTAAATGAATTTTTTTTCTTTTTAGAGACAATTTATCACAGCTGGTGTGTTTTATATATAAATAATTATCCATCACGGATAAGTCCAGATTCATCATCACAAATCTGGATTTGTGAAAGAGCTTACGGATTATCCGTGGATATCCACGGATCGTCGGATCGCCGGATCGGGACCACTACGGCCCCTGTATGATGAATTTACTTAAAGCACTGGGGATGGTTTTGAATGTCATTTTTGACTTATTTGACAATTTTTTTTTCGGGAGGCCGTTAAATCACGTGACTTATTTATTCTTTTTTCGAGATATTTACCCATACATTAATCATTTTTCGAAAAATTGATAACAGGAATTTGACATGTGGTCTTAATTGTCGCTCCGGATAATAATATTATTTTAATAAATAAATAATAAAGAATAAACAGTACAAACAAATAAAATGAAATAAATTTAATAAAATTACAAAAATACATTTTTTTACATCTAATTATTAATTTGACTTATCAAGTTTTTTAAGTAATCTTTCAACAACATCATTAATATTCTTTTCGATATCTTCCATAATTTCTATATTACCATCATCATCATCATCATCATCATCATCAGTTTTATTATCATCAACTTTACTTTTTATATCATAAAGTTTTTTAATTAAATATTCGATTGTAACATTAACATCATTTTTCATATTCTTAATTTTTTCAATTTCTACTTTAATATCTTCTTCATATACCAAAATTGAATATTTATCATAATCTCTTTCTTTATAAGTACGTTTTGTAAAAGTAGATTTTTCTTCAAAATCCTTATAAATAGCACCTTGTTCATCTTTTCTTGTAGCATACCATTCTTCTAAAGTTTTAGATTGACCAAAATAATAAATATGCTTCGGTTCAGGTTCAATGTTTCATAAATGAATATGATATAACGCTTCATAATCTGCTATGTGATTTGCTCGTTGTCTTAATAGAGCTTGTCTACCTTTAGTTTCTGCGGTTGTATATATACCGCTAAGAAAATAAAGTAAATAAATAAAAAAGAATATTTAATTATAAAAATTGACAAAAGGAAAACTTACTTCATGAAAGCAATCAACATATTCTGCAAAACAATTACAAGGAATATACTAGCAATCAAACTAAATACATCAATGGCCCAAAAATCAAATTCATCTCTTTGAGCCCAATTACCACCAATCCAAAAATATGTGGCTATTATTGCATCTGAAAACAATGAATATGGATTATCGCTAGATTTAGGATCAAAATCAGATTTTAGTTTAATGTCGAGTGTCTCATTTTTCAAGTCATTTGTAGCAATTCCACTATATGTAGACTCTTTGATTTTAATACTATCTGGATTTCAGAGTAACACAAACCTATATTAATAAAAATAATAATTAATTAAAATGAAATGAATAATTTATAAGAAAAAAAAAGAGATAATTTTTACATAGTATGTGCAAATGCAAGTATTACAATTAGCATAAACAAGAAAAACGGAATTATGCTTTTGAAGATGATTATGACATAATAAATATAAATGCCAATATCTTTTAAGTGGAAAAGAATTCAATTAATTTATAAAAAATACAACCAAAAATTAAAAAATAAATCATGAATAAGTTAAATTATACCTGATATTATGCGAAGATATAAAATCTGAAATCATTGAATTTGATATTAATTTAAATAAGAGGGAATAAATAATTGATCTAATTCAAACTTACCAATTCAATCCAAAGAAAAAAGATTGAAAATGATATTCCCGCAATTAATCCAGTATCAATTACTTTAACACTTCCAAAACCATCAGAAAATTGGAAATTTTTAAACATTATTGACATTACCGTTACAGAAAGTACAATGGAAATTATATCAAAACTGTTAAATATTTCATCAAAATATTTTTTAAATCCACGATAATGAAATTGTAACGCTTCAGTAACAAGTTGATAAAATGCCAAATAATAAAATATGACTATTAATGCAAATAAAAAATTTCCATTTATAATAATGCTATGATTCAAATATGCCCAGCTAACTATTGTAAAACAAATGGCAAAAAAAAGAAACCGGAGGAAGAGTAAAAAAAAGAAATTCCTTGCTTTTTGCCAACGAAAATTAATAATTGCTTCTGTTGCTGGATTGTCGTAAATATTGTCATTATCCTCATATAGTATCATCCTAGAAAAAGGACTTAACCGATTCTTCTCATTTCGGCTAATTATGTACCATCGTGGTATAAATATAAACAAAAAAATATTTAAAATAATTTTTTTCCAATTGTATATATTTTTTTTTGAAATGTCATTTACAGTAAAACTAGGAAGTGGAACTATACGTAAAGCTAATGGTGATTTTCCAAGGTCATTGTCAAAGTTTTCAAGAGATTTATATATTTTATGTTTGAGTGATAAATTCTCTTCACTTTTCTTAAATAAATTCCAAAATTTATTATACCACTTATATTTATTAGACTCCAGTCTAACCAAAGGTTTGAATGCTCTAAATTTGATGTCATGATTACGTCTTTCTCGACATTCTATCGGAATAATATCATCTGGATCATGAGCCGAGAAATGATCCTGATCTGCAAAACATTCTTTAAAAAATAGCTTTCTTGCATAGTCATCTATTATGTAGGATAAAGATTGTAAATTCATAAACTCTTTTCGAATGAAAATAATTATAATCAAAAACAAACCATAATTATATTTAAATAACAAAGGAAGTGCTTTAGAAACAGAACTCATCCATCCTGCACAATCCGTTGCATTTCTAGAATAATATTCCAAAAAGTAGGCAACAATAATCGTATCTTTAAGTTCACGACCTATAAATAAAGTGAAATCATTTCAATTGGAAATTATACAAAGTCATAATAAGTTTTGATATTTACCTTTGCAATGATAAATTGCTAATTCCATATTATTTCTTGGCTTAATTTTTTCATTATCTTCTAGCCTATTATCTTTTCTTTCATAAAAATCAAGATCATCATCTTTTAAAAACGATTCTTCTGGCCATAAGTTATCTCTTGGTATATGTCTGATTTCAAACTCTTGTCTTTTTACTTTTTCTCTTTTTTCTTTTACCTCTATTTCTTTATATACATTTTTGTTTTCGGTATTTTCTTCTTCATCTTTAAATAATATAAACTTTATAAGATGGTCGCAATCACCAAGAATTAAATTTTTCATAACGTTATGTCGAACATCTAACAATTTAAAATTTTCTGGATCATTTTTAGCATATCTCCAGACTATATGTTTGATATAGGAAATCATCTCTTCGTACTTTTTAATTAAAAAGAAATATTAATTATCTAATTTCTATGAACGAATAAAATTATTAAACCCATTTAAATCAACTTACTTCATGTACTCTGATGTAATTATTTGCAAGAAATTTGCTTTTATATCGCTTGTTAAGATGTTCTAATGCCTTGCATGCGTGTCTTATTGCATGAAATTTTTCAATAATATCTTTTCGTTTAATTACTTTTTCATGCTTTATCATTTTATCTATTTTACCACCTTCTTCCATGCTTATATTCTGTTCCAACCATTCCACCTTCACACTACTTTTTCTTCTTTTCCTCCTTATTTCTATTTCTTCATTATCTTCCTTTGACGTTTCGTGTTCCGTCTCTTTTAAATTCTCTACATTATCCTCGATAACTTCATACCAATAAACCTTTAAATAAAAGTCACGTAATTTATCATGCAAACTGTCATTTGGTTCACATTCAAATTTACTAATCTG